ATTTTGTTCAAGTGAAAACTAAGAAGCCTGTTATACTTCATTAGGTCACAAAGACTATGGATACCACTGGTGAACGAAAAATTACTTCATAGTTTCTGTAAAGACAACCCAGTTGGGCAAAGAAATATTTGGCCAAACCAGATAGCTATGCTATATACTACAAACCACCTCAAATACCTTTGAGCAAGAAATACTCATTAATTCTCCTGCTCAATATAGCATGTTAGATTACATCATTTGAAAAGGCCTCCTTTAACCTTGTAATCAAAAAAAAAAAAAGTCAACTTTGTCATTTGGATGGAGAAAAACTCTAAAAATGTAAAACAAAACACTTGCCTCAGTCAATGAGCTAATAATTCACTACCGCTATTGCATGTTTTCTTAGGCTGAAGATACTAAGCTTTGTATACAGCAGCAAAGCCTTCTTAGAACCTCTTGCTGCAGCTGAGGTATAAACCCAGGATTTTTTCTACTAGTGCAATTCAATCTGTTTTATTCAATAAGCTGTTCCCTCCCACCACCCCGATTTATTCTTTCGAAACCAAGTTCTTTCTGAATCATAAGACACTTCTGGAATTTCAGCATCTCTTTGCCACCAATAATTAGAGGAATAATATGTAAGTTTTCAGACAGAAGATTTCATCTATGTCACATGTCCTGAGCCTCTCACAGCAACTGCTCTGCTGTATCAGGTCAGAAAAGTGTCTTGTACCAAATAACCATGACGCCAAATGTTGCAGAGGAAGGCGTAAAACCTCAATCATACACAATTTGCACATCAATACATCAACTGTACAAACGCCTTTATTATCTTTAGGCTAAATTCCCTCATTTAAACTGATAATAACATGAAGCTGAGCAATGAAACAGGCATTGAATCAACTTTAAAGTCGTCTTCTAAAATGTCTGCAGTCTGGACTTCTTTTCATGTCACATGTCTGCTTTGCACTGTCTCTTCTCAACTGTTTTAGGAATTACTCCCATTTCATAGTATCTATTCTGCCTCTACATGAGTGCCTGAAGAGAAAGTGTAGCGACATTCTTTTTCATAACTTGACTTTACGGATTCTTCTTTTACCTCAATACTTTGGACAGAGCTAGCTGACTAATAATATGGCTGAATTAAATAAAGATCGACCCAGGAAGAGATGATGGCTGTATGTAAGAGGAAATAACCAACACAGGTACTAAATGTAGAACTGTATCTCAAATAACGCAATATTAATTTTTGTCCCTTAGCATCTTTAAGGAGTGTATATATAGCTCAAAAAGAATTTCAACTATGTTGAAATGGAACAGTCAAATCTCCCTCCTATGGATCTCACTCCAAGCCTTCAAACTTCAAGACTGAATTTCTACTGTGTGACTTGCAATTAATTTTCTTGGCCTGTTCCTTAAAACTGCAGCTGATGAGAGCAGGACTGTTCCTTAAGGTTCTAATCGCTGCCCACTGACTGTCAACAAATTGAGCTAGAGGGGGTCTACAGCTGAGGATGCCCAACCATCCTCAGAACCGGATTCTAAAGAGACCACCGGTCGGAGAATGTACAGTAATCACTGTAGACCTTGGTGTATCTAGTTGCTCCCTGGTCAGATGTGTGATGACAGCACTGTTCTACACAGCCCTTCACAGGCTGGATATTGACTTTATTTAACTTTCCTGCACCTATTTAATGATATATGAGGCAGGCTGAAGTACATTTACTGATGTTGTTTACCCTGACACAAGCAGATGGAGTCTTATATTTCTCAAAGAATGATCCTCAAATTCTAGAATCTGATGTCCTCTCAGTGATCTGAGATCTTTTACTGAATTTAAGATTTCTGCAGATCACACAAGTTCCATCTATATTTTTAGGGATCCACCTGAGGAAAACAGATAAATACAATCTGCACAAGCTGTACCCTGGGGATGCAATTTATTGTAAAAATTGTATGAATTACAATAATTACAACTAAGTTAAATCTCACACTCAGAATTTTAATTTTCATGTTTTCAGTCTGGAAAATCCCAAAATTAAGAGAGAAAACACAAAGACTTGGCACAAAAATGTATCAGTAGATACTAGCTAATTTGCTTCCCATATGTTCAAAGGGTAAACTATAATCTGAATCACCGTCATCTTAAATCTTAAAGAAAAATCTGAGTTACACCCAATATTTCTAGCAATGACTTATCAATCAGAAGTCTCATCCTTCATTTTGTTTCTATTCTCAGTATTTGAGTTGCTTTGAATCTGAAGCATTTTAAAGTCAACACAAAGCACGATTTATATGCATTTTCATTTTGAAAAGTCACTAGTGTAAAAGAGAAATCAAGCATTAAAAACCTTCAACATACCCGTTCATCATTTGTTGCTCGTGTTGATTCTTCCTTCCCCTCATCTGGCAGAGGCATTCTAGTCAAAGCAAGTCCATTTAGGGCAGCTAGCTTTAGAGGGCCTATTTTTTTTGCATCATTTTTATTCTTTTTCATACCCTGCAAAAGAAAAGCTAAACCTTGTAAATATTCTTAAATATCTGATGAAGTTATAAAGCAGAAACCAGATGAGTTCAATTAAGCAAAGGATACTTCTTTGACCCCTTCTGCAAACAAGCTCTGACCTTTTTTTTTTGATAAGCACTGCAGTGAGAGATCAGAGTGGTGGGACTACATTCCTCCAAGGACACAACACAAGTCTGTCTTCATTCCACACAGGTTAATGAAACTGCATGAGAATGACAAATCTTGTTCCCTACAAAGCTCACAACTGAGGGTATGAGGTGACAACTCTGGATAATTAACATTCTTGGACAGAACTGAAATCACTTTCCAACCCCCAAAATACATAAAAATTATTCCTTACTAGACTATTCAGTTTGCAGGCACTTTTCTTCCCTACAAGCAGGCATAACAATGAGCATATACCTTTAAGATATTTGGATATAGTTACATGTTTGACTAAGTTTGCAACAAACTGCACATACAAAACACAAACACAGAACTGCAGTCAGATCTGAGCCCTGAACCAGGCCATGAATCTAAGTTATTTAAGTTACCATTCATTATTTGAGAAAAATACCAAAGGGGGATCTTTATGAAAGAATAAGTTCAAATGATTCTTTTAAAAAGTGTAAGAGAAAACTTCATTATTCCCACAGTTGCTAAGTTTGGTTGTTAACAAAAATACACTGAAAATGTGAGTGTATATGCTGCTTGAATGATAATCAATTGTTTCAAAAGCTAAATGGTAGTAAGGAACAGGAAGACAAAACTGAGAGGATGAGACCACATTTAAAAGTGAAGTGAACACAAACACAACAGTAAGAGTTCACTGAAAAACAAAATGTGCAAACATTGGTAGGGGCCAGCTTTGTTACCAGGATATTCATCTCAATATTGAATACAGAAAGGTAGTATTTTCTATTATGCAATGGTACCCTTAAATGTTACTGAACTAGAAAGTATTTTACTGAACACTTCCAGTGAAAAAGTTTTAATATCAGTTGACTTGAACATTTACATAGCTATCAGAAGGAAAAGGCAGGGTATGATTTTGATAGACGCATCAGTCTCTGAAAATATATCTTTTGGAGAACAAATACTAAGTGACTATCTAAACGTGAACACAAGGAGAAAAGTATCACCTTTTTTCCCTATATCCACATAACAAACATGAGGAAGGAGATTTAGAAAAACATACACAATTACAAGAAGAATTGAAGCTGATGAGGGTTCATTTCATTGAGTTCAGCTCCATGTATAGCAAGTCTGACAAACAAAAAATTGTGAGAGCAGTAACTATTTAAATACATAGCTTTTGCATAGGTTAGCTTTTGCAGCATCAGCTGTAACAGTTACTACAGCAGTGTAAGTTACATGATAGTTCCACTGCAGTCCAATTTGTGCAGAAAACTATTTGACACTAACTCAGGCAGGTAAAGTTAACAACAATCAATTTTAAAAGGCAAAATAGTAATAAAAATGGTCCTCTTCCACTAGCACCAGAAATATGCCACAGACTACATAAAACTGAACAAAAGTTTAAAACAATATTAGTGGTAAGGACCGGCAGCGGAATTGTACAGTCCCATGCAGACCTTGATGTTTCTATGAGGTGGGAATTACAGGGAAGGTGAAACTTGCAGTTGTTCACTATGGCTTCATAAGATTGGAGTAGGAGAAAGAGACATAGCAAGCAAGAAATACCTTTAGTGGGATAAAAACAGCTTGAAGAGAAGGCAAAAGGGAAAGGATATGAAAAGAGGAAGGGATGGAGGAAAGAAGAGAATGCAAGGAAATAATTTATTGCCTAATGGGTCAGGTCCCCCTCTTAGGTCAGAAGAAGAAAGCAAACGAATCAAAAAAAGTAAACATTCAGCTACATCCGATTTTTCAGCGAGAGGAAGATTAGAGAGCTGGTAGTGGAACAGAAAGAGTTGCTTCTGTTCCACATAAGAATAGGTAGGGCAGAATTTGGGATGTAGAACTGACTTTAAATTAGCTCATTCTAGCTCATTGCTAGCCAGGTCAGGTGTATCAGATGGATGGAGGCTGCACAGCTGGATTTGTGTGGGAGGACTATAAAAACAGAACTCAGACATTGCAGAGAATGGGATAAAAGACAGCTAAGCAAAGTTAATCGGGGAAACAGAAAAACAAAGGTCAAGCTTAAGGTAGCTTTTAATTCACATGTTTTAAAAGCACCTCAGGTTGATTAGAAAAACCCCAAACCTCAAACAAAACCCCCACACAACTCCCACTACAGAACAACCTGAAACAAGAGGAATAGTATCCACTTACACCTAGTGGGGGAAGGCCTTCCACAATATTCTTCTTCCCAGACAAAAGATCAGACACAGGTCTCTTCTTTACTGAGTCTTTCCTTACTCTGTATCTCCCTGATGTTGTAAGATCAGATTCCGACATAGATGGAGTAAGCAGTCCTTCCCCTCTTCTCTGTACCTGGCTTTCTACTAGTAAGTGAATGGGGCTCATATCTTTCATTCTCTTTTCTGTCTCTGTGATATGTAATTTAGGCTCAAGAATATGCAAAGGGCCAGCAGATGAAGCAACAGAGCTATAAGGGTAGTTCAGTACTGAATCATGAGAATAACCACTCATAACGGATGAAAGTTGGGTTTGATCTTCAGGGAGAGGAGAAAGACTTGTACTAGCCTTGTTTTCTTCTTCAAATTCTTCTTCCTCACTGCTGTGAATCAGCATAGTGGCATCTGAAAGGGTTTTCTTATGATCACAGTTCACACCTTCCTCTTGCTCACTTTCTTTTTGCTTTGTTCTCTCCATCAGAATGTTGGGCTGTGACCCTTCTGAGATAACTCTTGGAAGAGCCACATCTGCTGCAGAAGCTGACATGGTCCTCTCTTTAATTCTTATTCCTTCAAAGCTGGGAGTCAACCCTGCTATTTCAATACTGTTCCTTTTCTGCAGCTGAGCATGGCGTGCCGACGTCAGAGGTTCACTGACTTCCTGAAGAGAATGTGCCACAGGCAGGCTGTCTTCCTGAAATGTCTGGACAGAATGGTGCACTCGCCTTGTGATAAGATCTGGATTGCTGCTGCTAATGTAGATATGTCGTGAAAGGTCTGGAGTACTATTTGCAGGTCTTGGGTACGGGTATGGTGGAGGTGGTCGATAGACTTGGGTCTTCATTATATTTGGTGCTGGATAGTCCTGAGCCTGGAGCTGCACATTTGTCAACTCAGGCACACTGACTGCCCCAACACCCGGGCGCCTTTCAGCCGGGTACAGGATAGGGATAGGGGGATTGGCTATGAAAGCTGTAGTTCAGGTTAAATGGATAATGATTAGACTGGGGGGAAGCGAAGTGAGCATGTTCTCGTATTTCAGGTTGACTGTAAACTAAGGCATCAGGCCTGCTGTAAGCATATGAATTGCTGATGTTAAGATTTCTCATTGAATGACTCTGCCTATCTGTGTGCACCATTCCCCTGTTGAGCTGTCTCATCACAGTTTCATAGTCTGGTGTGGGACGGTAAGAAGGTGGTATTAGTGCACTATGTCTATGTGATGGGACATAATCAGTTCTGAGGACATCGCTTCCAGTAATGCTTGGGTTAGAGGACATGGGGGACGGCTGCAAGTAATGTTGTGGATTGTTCAAGGAGTTGGTGCTATGTGCACTATAGACACTACCATTGCGGATCCGACCACTGTAGTCATGAGGGGCTCTATCCAAGCTAGTCTGAGAGTGACAGTAGTATCCATTCTGATTGCTCACAAAGAGGTTATCTGAAAGTAAAGTTTAAGAACAATCTTTATGTCCAAGACATCAAACAAAGATATCCTCTATTAAGACGTAGCTAACCAATGTTTGAGATTTTCAAAATCTCAGTTATTCTTAGCTATGTATTGAAACGGGAAGAAAAAAAAAACAACCCCAGCTTTTTTGTTGTTGTTGATACCTAAAGTATGTATACCAGAATAACCTATTACGTTCATTTAGAAGACGCAAATTCCAATTGGAAAACATTGTCTCAGTTTAAGAATGGCTTTCTTCTGTTTAGGATAGGTTTGCTAAGTTTCAGTCCAAGAAAATCCGTATCAATCTTAAACCACACTAACTGAAAGAACGAACACCAGGGTTTGCACTAATCTAATGAAATTATTTTAAACAGCAAGAAAGAAAAAAAAGCAAACAAAAAAAGAACCAAAAACCTAAAAACACCCCCACAACAACCAAACAAAAAACCCCACGCTCTTCTCCCCCTCCAGGCCGTAAGTAGATATCGTACCACAAGACCTTTTAAAAAAAAAAAAAAAAAAAAAATCAAATTAACTTTTCTCCAGAAATTCTGGAGACAGTTTAAACCACCACCATATATTGTTTGCACCTTAACATATACCCACTCTGATGGGTAAAGAAAATTATTTAACAGTTTATACATCCAATATACATTTAATAATTTAACCATTACTTCATTGGATGTACAATTTGCCAAGCTCCAGAAGAGAACAATTCAGTCACTGCTTTAGATGCCTTTCATGATTTAACTCTTCAGGTTCACCAAAGTAATTGCCACATTTATGTTAATGAATTTGCTGACAATAAAAAAAAAAAAAAAAAAAAAATCTTTTGTGTGTGAAAAAATTTTTCAAAAATAGGATGTGTGCAGTAGCAAGTATCCAGCAATAATTCCAACACTATATTGGAAAGAATTCAGCTACATTCTAAATTTATATACCTTCATGAATACTTGTGTAACTCTATTTAGATAGAAAACATGCTTATTCCCTTACCAGTGAGTTGTCAGAGTATTTTTTTTTTATCCAGCTGATTTATAGGACTGGAAGGTCCCTATCAAAACTGAGGCAACTTTGCAAAAGATTAGATTAAGCCCTTCAGGGTAGCAACTTTGTTAATTAAAACACACAATGTGTAACAATCAAACAAAAAAGAAGAGAAAGCAGCCATGACTCCATTGTAAACCGCTTAGATTAGGAGTGTGCATCCCTTAAGAATTCTAATTAGGGTTTGCTTAGGTTTTTTTTCTTTCCTTTTTTTCAATGAAATGTATACCAATTCCATAACTTGCACACTTCCTTAGCCTTTGAATTCCCCACCACCTTGTAGTCTAGCAAACTCAGAGAAACTTCTCTCTTCCTGCATCCTGGGTTAAACAATTTTTTTTTTACTTTTTGTTTATCTGAATTGTCTGGGGGCTCAGTTACTCTTTGCAACTATTAAGATCAATATTGACAAGGATCTCACAATGCCATAGCGTACCAGTTTGGTACATGAACGAAAAAACAAACAGTCAGCTTAAACTCACACAAGGGACCACAGTCTATAGTTGCTGTATATGCTATCATAACTAGCTTTCCTCATATCCCATATGAAACGATACGGAGAGGAGCAGCTGAGGGAACTGGGGTTGTTCAGCCTGGAGAAAAGGAGGCTGAGGGGAGACCTTATCGCTCTCTACAACTACCTGAAAAGAAGGTTGTAGCGAGGTGGGTGTCAGTCTCTTCTCCCAAATAACAAGCAACAGGACAAGAGGAAATGGCCTCAAGTTGCACCAGGGGAGGTTTAGATTGGATATTAGGAAAAATTTCTTCACGGAAAGGGTTGTCAAGCATTGGAACAGGCTGCCCAGGGAAGTGGTTGAGTCCCCATCCCTGGAGGTATTTAAAAGATGTGTAGATGTGGTGCTTAGGGACATGGTTTAGCGGTGGACTTGGCAGTGCTAGGTTAACAGTTGGACTTGATCATCTTAAAGGTCCTTTCCAACCTAAATGATTCTATGATTCTATTTCACATTAGCCTATATGCCTAGAGTAGCAGCATGCTGTAATACAAATCTATCCCATGTTCACCCTGTGAATTTATTCAGCTCTAGCTGAAGTAGCTATAAATGCAAATTATAGCATTTACCTTCTAAAGTTGTGTAGTGTGGCCTTGGATTTAATGAACTTACCTTGGGAGGATGCATATGGTTCAGTATAATGACCATTGTAATGCAGCTGAGGTGGTGGAGGCATCATATAAGGCTGAGGCTTGGGCTAAGAAAGCAAGCATCTTATCGTTAGTTAAAAACTCATGATTTATTTTAAAAATAAGTCTTGAAGTTTTTTTTATGTATAATGTACAATATTTTTTAGATATATATATTATATAACATATCATACACACACACACAAAGCTTTAGTCTTAAACCATTTCTCTAAATCTGCAATGTAAGTTTCTCCTGTGAGGTCATACAAAATTTAAAAAAAAAAAAAAAAAGAAACAAAACCAAAACCACACACCACCAACCCAACACTGTATCTTGCCATCTGACTTCTTGGAGAGTCTCCTAGATGAGTCTCCTAGAGACAGACCAATCAAACTAAAAACAGAAGTGTTTAAAGTATTTTTCATTGCAATTATTTTAATTACATTATTCAGATATTACATAGCAGCTTTTTCTACAGGTCAGAAACAGTTCCTCACATACTAGACTCACCTTTTTCACTGCTCATTTTATTTCACTGAAAGAAACTAATGTCTGATTCAAAGTCAATTGAAATCCAGAAAAATGCAAACATAAAACTACTTCCTCTCCTTACCATAGACATCCTGGACGAAGACCGCCTTCTAACAGGATTCACTGTAACGGGCTGGGCTTGCCTACAGAAGAAATTTTATGGTGAGAAATGATTCTTAATAACACCGAGACCTATTTCAAACCTTGGAAAGTGCTCCCAAGTTCAGTTAAAAATCACTCTACATTTCTTGGAGGCAGGCCCTGTGTCAAACAGTCCTCCCCAACCCAGTCTCAAAAGGAAAGAGCTCTGTGCATAAACCACCATCGCAGACAGTATGAGCAGAATCACAAAACCAGGATCAAAATACCTGTTATTTCTTTGCCTCTTTTGTTGAAGCATAAAAAGGAGACGTCCCTGAAGCACTGCAGCAGGGCAGAAAAAGCAGCGGAGTAACTGGGGACTAGTTCCAAATTTGAACCCTGTATAAAATCTCATACTATAAGTTACCTGTTCTACATGACCAGACATAAAATTGTTTACAGAATGTAACGTTACAGATGTTACAGGAACTGGAAAGCGCGACTATACTGCATGAGCACTTGTATGTTCTAACATTCAAGCTAATGGTAATAAATTTTCATAATTTGTTGGATTGCCTTCAGGATGTAAGGTTCAGAAACCTTAAGCTCCTTTTTCCCCACCCTACGCTGCACCTGTACTCTGCATCGTGCAGCAAGACAGAGGTCACAAGGCAGCAGAATAACACAAATGCAGGAACTACCATATTTCAGAAAGAAAGATGATTTTTCAGCTCACCCTTTGGGAAGTGAAGGACGAGAAAGGATTGGAAAGCGTGGAAGGGAAAGAATGAGGGAAGACTTCTGAGAGCCCTCCTCAGGTGGAGAGTCCAGGGAGTCTCTAAAGACAAGGTATGTACAGATAAAGGAGAAAAAAAAAAAACTGAACTTAATAAGGCATGCATAAGGCAGTTTTCAGCAGCAGGACCAGATGACAGAGAATCTTAGAGTAGAGATAATCAGAAAAGTTTTTTTGAGGACTTTTATCTATTAATAAAACCATGTTGTGGTGAAAGGGTTAAAATAAGTAAACCTAGAGACTGACATTCAATACAGAACTATAGAACTGACATTATTCAGATAGCAATGCAGAAGTCCCACAAATGCACTACTTCCACCAATATTTCTTATCCCTCTCAAAAGGCAGCCATGTTCACAAGCTTAGAGGTATGAGGTCTACTCTATTCCAAATTAATCTTACTCTTCTAAAATAAATTAGCGTTAAACACACTAGCGAGTCATCTGTGGTGCAAAATACTTCATTATCTTTCCACTGGCCTCAGCAAATTTTGGACTAACCCCTCCATAGCTATCTTCTCGTGTACAAAGAAGAGGAACGGAACATTTGGGAATCATGCTTTTTTATGACAGACTATTCACTGGGTCTAATTCTCTATTCTTTGTCCGCAATAACTTAGCTGAAGGAAAGCTGTACCAGTGGAGTAGCTCAAATTCCAGCCCTTGATTTACAAGTTGGAGACCAGCCCATTTAAATTTAATTTGATGAATTGTATTAAATTTACTTTGCACTGGTGCTACTTGAGCTATTCAAATTCCATGGATATCCAAAGGACCACATACCTCTCAGCTGTCAATCCAGCACATTTCAGGAGTGCTTCACATACGCTTCCCGCCCTTTTAAAGGCCTTTAGAGTGTCCTTTCAGAGCAGTTCACCCAAACCCAGGTCAAAATCCCAGTGATTCCAGTAGCTCACAAACATTCTAGCAATAGTATCCCCCAACGCAACTGAAGTCTGTCACAGCACTGAGATCCAGCAGCAGGGGCCAAACACTATTACTTTTGGTAAGATTTCAGTGTTTAATATTGTCTTCTGTTACGAAGCAGAACATGTTTGAGAAACTGGCGATAAGTATTTTCTCAAAAAAGATTAAGAAAAAAACCCCAAGTCATTAATTACTATCATCTAAAAAGGACACTAAAGACACTACAGAGGTTACAAAAGATTTCACTTCCCAATTGAAGCTTCAAGGGCATCAAGAGTTCTGCTAATGTATTCTACTTACAGGCTGCATTTATTTAGTCTGTAAAATTTGTGTCTAGCCACACACATCCTCCACACGTATTTTGCTGTTTCCATATCTTCCTGCCAAAAACCAAAACCAAAATTTGCATATTAGCCAAATATGCATACCCTTCACTTGCTTTCAGACAAGCCACTGAAATTTTTAAGATTAAATTAGCATTGACCGATTTCATTTTAATATAACTTCATTACTGTCACCAGGTTTTCCCTAAAACTGTACTTTGCAGGCCTGAACATGCACTCTAGCCTAACAATTTTATTAGATTTATGAAAGTTGAAAGTAGAAGACTTTTGTTGAAGACACTCTTATCAGCTATAACACTAACACAATTTACAGTATATATATATCATGCCATAAGATTGTCAACAGCTGCCTTCTTGACAAAGGCAACTGGTAGGTGCTACGTAAAATTAATTCTGCAAGGAACGCTGTGGCCCATTCCAGCAAAGCTCTAAGACCATGTTTGTCTTTAAATGCCACTGATTTAAAAGTAAAAAAAATGCTAGAAATTTTACTGGAATGGATGAAAATGTTTATAACCACCTGAACCAAACTTGTCAATGTACTCAATATAAAAGGTCAGATTTTTAATGCCTTCCCGTAGAAAGCTAGCCAGAGACAGTATTATTACTTTTGACTCACTCATACAGTTCAAAGTTGCTAAACATATAAAAAGTAGGTTTTATCCTTTGAGTTAAATTAGCAGTCTTAATTTGTGTTTTTATTTACTGATGCCTTAGTGAAAAAATAAAAGTAAAAATCTACTCACAGTTTGGAATTGGATCGTTTCTTCTTTGTTTGCCAGCTCTAACGCGAAAAAGGATTTGTTGTGGGACATGTTGGCAATATCATGCCACCTGCAGACAAAAGGGACAGAACATGACTAGCAAGCTCTGATTTTCAAACTACAGAAAATGCAACTGAAAAACAGAACCACCACCAAGAATATGGATAAATAAAAAGTTCATCAATCTATCTGAACAAGTTGCAGACCATCACTTCCATATCCATTAAATGACTGCTGAAAGGAAAATATGTGACTAACTCTTTTGAAGATGTGCAACATGTACAGTAATAAGTTTATGACTTGTCTTCCACTTGAAATTCTTTGAAGTGTTCTTTTTGGGGGGGAAGGGGGAAAATCATCAAATTTAGACAAATTTAGTTATCAGTAAATTATAATGTCCCGACTGCTTGAAAGCAAACCATACATTCGGGGCAGGGGGGGAAATCTGCACTAAACAAAGCTATTAAGGCATCATTATATGTATTTTCTAGAACTCTCTTGCATATTGACAGATGAGAAAAAGTTAGATTGCAAGAAATATAATACTATATTCATTCAACTTCTTGTTAATATAAATGCAGTTTGAGCCATCAGTATTATGTTAGTGTAAATAAAGCCTATATCATTGATTTTTTAAAAGAATATTCTGCAGTGCACAAACACAGGGAAAAAGCATGATCTACATACAGGACTCTCTATAAAGGTATTTACACAAATTTCATTTTCATCATATAGATGTGGCTGATAGCATTTTCTGTAGCTACTCACCATCACATGTGTGAGGTAGAGAAACATTGTCCTCATTCTGATGTAGAACAAAGACCCCTCAAATTTAATGCCTTGGTTCATAGGCATTTATGGATGTAATTATGAAATTACTTGAACCAATCTAGAGCATAACCCAGCCTTTGTAAATTGTACTAGTGGGTCATTTGTCTATGTTTTTTTGCCACCCAAATACCATGGTATATCCATCCCCAGTAGAACTGCCCATAGTCATACAACAAATAAGCAATAGAGCAGAAAACTGGATCCTGAAATTGGAATATGAATACTTTCTGATGCTTTCCAATGTGCAACTTTTTTCTTATGTTTACGCAGACACTGCATCCACAATTCTTTGGGAAATTATGTGAAATGAAAGGACAAAGCTTTATTCTTCTCCCCTGTGTGCTTGGAAAGTCAGACAGCAGAGCTGTTGTTGCTTCATTCTGCAAGAGAGCAGAGTAGGACACTTCTACCAGTCTACACAATTAAAAAGAACTTGGCATCAGCTCTCCTATCAGCAGCAGCGATAGAGATTTTTGTGAAGAACAGGTAATGGTACTGAATTTATAAATTCTATTAAACAAAACCACTAACAGAAAGAAGCACAGTTGCTACTTTGTCTAATCCCAGAAATTCACCACGAGTTCCAGTAACTGTTGGACCACAGGATTTCAAGATTCTGTTCATATTCAACCAAATATTCAATTCTAGATTAAAGTTCACTAAGAATAAAGCCTTTCTTGCTCTAGTGATAATTACAGATTACTAAGAATAATTTAAAAAAAAAGAAATCTCAGTATGTATTTTTTAAAATTTATTCCAAACTCCATCCAAAGATGCCCAAGCAATCCCTCTTGAAGTCAGTGGGAACCAGGTCATTTCACATGAAGACTGAATTTTAACTGTTAGGTAAGTTGCAGACATGCGTATGTCTACAATTTCACTATCAGAGCATTAAATAATGTATGAATCCAAAATAATGAAACAAATGTTATCATGTGACTCTCCTCTATTTCTTTTATATATAATATATGAAAGGAACTCCTGGATAATTTTACAATTGAATATTTCTAAGTAAACTGATATGCCCATCTCAGGACTTAAGATGTGCAGAGAATTGCTCCTTTTTGACGCAATAAATGTTTTGCAATGAAATGTATATTAAATGTTCCTGTCTTAGAATTAATCTGGCTTAAAGAGATTCATCCTGCAGCCAATACGTTGAAAAATTCCCATGGACTTCAGTATTCACTGTAGTGTGATGTGATGACTACAAGACTATGTTCAGGTTTATCAAATGAATAAATACACATCACATCTAAGAGTCATTCATGCTAGTGAGGAACACACACAAAATGTGAAGTGCACAAAGATATTTTAAGAAAGAACAATACTAACCTAAATACAACAGGAGGACGACCATTTTTGTGTTTCACAAAGATACCATCAAGACATGCTCCAATGAATATGTCACTTCCTTGGCTGTCCTGTAAGAAGTTGCAAAAAATTACGCAAATACAGAAAAAAGTCTTTGAAAGCAGAGTTACATGAGAAGCAACTACTTTTACAATTCTGGGGGAGAAAAGGGGTGGTGTGGTTTTTAGTTTTTATTTATTTTTGGCAGGAAGTTACTCTTTTTACATAGGGGAAAAAAGCAACTGAGATCAAAGCCCTGTTCACCTTTGCAGGATAGGTCTCTTCACCGTACCCCTCCATTCTCTCTACTTCTTGCATATATAACATTTCCGCATCAGGAGGAGTAAGGCCTCTACAAATGAAAACAACGATCAGCTAGTACTGTCAATAAGAAAAAAACATCTTTGGTTTACTCTGACTGACACTGTCAAAGCTTGAAAAGCATCCCCAAGACATCCAGGCAACTATCAAATCATGCTGTTTTCATCTGTACCAATGGTTGATATATTTGTCTCAGCCTTTACACTTTGATTCTAGTAACTTCTTTCTCTCAGGCATGTCTAGGGGTAAATGGCAACAAAGACCAGTTAAAATTATCATCTCTGCTGATGGCAGACAATTCTCACATTCTTCTTCAAATCCATCATTGTCACCATATTTTCTCACTTTATCAGAATGATTACTCTGGCACACGTGTTCAAGACCTGAATTTCTCCTACTGCAGTATACCTGTTTAGGATCAATATGAAGTTTGATGCTTCACATTTCAGGAAAGATAGTCTCATTTTCTAAATGCTGACAGAGTTTTAACTGTAATGGTTTTTAAAGATGAGAAGGATAAGATCTGTAGGTGAAGGTAGATTTTTTAATTAGACTAACTGGCAAAGACAGTTTTCTCACTTGCAGTAGTGTCACAGGGGTTAAAAGCTTATGTTTCCCTACCTACCTCAGTTGATGTCATAGAAGACATGATCTCTACCTGCAAAATTCTGTCATGCTCGTTCTTATGTCTCTCAGTACTTCTTCAATCATCAATCTCTCTGTTTCTTCACTTTTTCCTAATGTCATGCAGATTAAGTTTTCTTTGCAGAACCTTAATCATGCAATCTTGTTACAAAAGCGTTTCAAAGATAAATGGATTTGAAATTTTGAAACTGTTATTTTAAAACAATACAGGAAAAAATAATCAATATTACTCACATAGTCACAAACATTTTTCACTGATGAACTGACAACAGAGAACTTAACTTTCCTTTGTCTTGGACTACTGCATCTTAGTTACCTCTTACTTAAGATCACAAGCATTCTGGCACAGTGACTGTCTCTATATTTCTACTGCCCTCAGTATCTGCCAACGTTATTTATCAAGAAACATCCTTACTGGGGTCACAACTTCACGTAAACAAGTTTCAGAAACATTATACAGGTGAAGTCACACTATTTAATGTGTCCTGTATTCTTAATTTACAAGCAGAAACCTCTCATTTATTTTAACGGTCATTCTGTCCTCTTTTCACTTTCATTCAGCAAAAATTCTTGTAATTTTACTGCAGATGTATCAGTGAAAAACTCATTTAAATTAGTCTCACTGTCTTCTGAGATTCCCAACTTCCTGAGCTACTGAAGCAATCACATAAAAATTAAACAATGAAGAGTTTTAGAAATATTACCTGTACTTCTGATGTAGCAAGGCAACTTTCTGTGTCGCTTCTTCCAATATTTTTTCTTCTTGTAGCCAACCCTTAAAGTAAGATAGCATTTATAGAATGAAATACAAAAAATTCTAAAAAATTAAATGGTTATACTTTCTTTACACAAGCGAATCAACCCTCCACTCTAGTCTTGGAGCTTAGATGCTGTAATACGCACACAAACAAAAACATAAAGCAGAAACACTGTTTTGAAGTGGTTTTACTCACTTTCCTATCTCCACCCCAACCTTGTTTTCAGTGTAATACACAATAAAACTGAAAAGATCTTGCAACATCTTCGCTTCTGTGTAATATACGGTATCGTATCTCACTCCAGTCTCAAAGAAAACCTTCACTGAATTTAGCAATCTAGGGAGCAGTAAGCTAGATGGATCATGGAGTCTTTAATAATGATTTGCATTTACCAATCTAAAGAAAGATTTAAATTTAAATTTATCAATTTAAAGTAAGTACTTACCACTGGAAACAAAGCAAATCTTTGTAGAAACTCCTGAGATTCATACTGATCATAGTCTCCAAAATCAGCTAAAAAATAAAAAATTTCTTGGATTCAAACATTTCTGACAAAATGATTCAATACCCGATTAATTGCAGCAGGATCTCCAAGTAGCAAATCTCAATCCTATTGAACTACGATCTGAAAGTAAAACAATGGAACAAACTATCCAGTAACATTTAGGAAAAGTAAAAACACATCCCATCTTTTTACCTTGTTCGGAAAAATTGATAACACTCCTTGTGGATAGGAAAGGAGAAGAAATGATAAAACAGTGTTGCTCCAAGTTCCTTAGTTCCTTGGGTTTTTATTTGTTTAGTTTTTTTAATCACAGAATGGTTAAGGTTGTAAGGGGCCTCTGGAGATCTAGCCCTAAGCAGGGTCAGCTAAAGCAGATTGCCTCAGAGCCTTCTCCAGTCAAGTTTTGAATACAGAGCATGGAGACTTCACAACTTCTCTGGACAGCCTGTTCCAGTGTCTCACCACTCTTACAACAGAAAACTTTTATTATGTTTAGACGAAATTTCCTCTATTTCAATTTGTGCCCATTGCCTGAGAAGAGTCTGGCTCCATCTTCGTTACTCCCTCCTGTCAGATACCTAATTATCTGCAGTACAGTGCCGGCCGACTGCTCTAACTTGCAGCACGACTCAAATACCCTTCCGCTCTCAAGCCTTCTACAGCTCTCTGCACCGAGACGTGCAGAAAGTGGGACCTAGAAGTCTTCCCAGACTCAGGGGCATGCTCAGAAGGGACTTCGTAACAGTTTTTATTTTAATAACAGTTTTGAGTCTACGTCATGCCAAAGGACATCCCAAGGAATTTGCCTCTTTTTCTGTTTCCAGAAAAAAACTAGCCAATGTTTCAAAGAAGAGAAATAAAACATTCTAAATTGGAAAAGTTATGTACCAGTCTCACAGGAGAAACTGTGGAACAGCAGTCTGTACGGAATGGCTGCTCCCAAAAATATAAACACAATCCCCAAGTATACAGATCCTATTTAATCACAGATTCTCATCCATAATAGTGCAGTTTTAGAGATATTTAGGAACCAAATTTGTATTAAACATTTACAATTAATATACAAGTTATTTACGATGAAAGGGGAGAAATTGTGATATGCTACACCAACACAGCACTTGAGATAAAGCAGAATTAGCCTATTGTAATTATTTCAAACACAGATCATTCTTGAAACCAGTTCATTTGAAACAGCAAACAACTGCTTCTGTTCATTCACCAGCCTAAAATTAACTAACCTACCTGGTATAAGCTACTTCAGTCATCAGAGCACATTAATTTAGAACCTGCGTTTTCATCAACACATAAAGTTTCTCTCTTATACAAGACTGAAAAAGGAATGTGAAAGCTAAAAGGATAAATATTTCCCATCTGGAAAGGGGATTATATTCAAATATTTCTATAAACAACTCACTGAGCAGAGAGACATTTACACTATTCAAAGAAATGAAAATAAGAAAGCAAGATTTTGTCAGTTGAAGACCATTAAATCCTGGCTTGGATTAAACAGATTCACTGTTTGTTTTAAACAAGGCACTAATATAACTCACCCTACTCCACTGGTAAGCACATTTTCAAAAAACATAATCATTGTCTTTAATGTGATACTACCAAGATGTATAATTAAAAAAAGACAAAAAAACCCTAAGTTGTATGTACCGCCAATGACTTTAAGTTCCTTTCAATTTTGGCATATTTACAATTGCTGTTAGATATACTGGAGTGGCATTCACTGTGAAGCAATATACAAACACATTACACAAAGCTGTTGCCATTAAAAACTTTTATTTTGAGAGATTTAAGAGAAAACAAGCATGTTAGCAGGGAACACCAGACATGATCAGTGCAGACAGACTTAGGACAGGTGGTTCTCTGGTGTATACTCTATTCCATCTGACCCCAGTTAGGAAAAATAAAGCAGCCATTTTCACATAGGTATCACAGAAATGGGTCTTCAGGAGTGATTTGAACATAGGAATTGTTAACAGTCTGGCATACTAACTTGAAATAATCTTAGGTGTTAGGATATTTGGGAGAAAAAGTGGAGATACAAGTACTACTGTACATTCAAATTTGCTTATTTATTAAAACATGTCTCTTTCTCTTGTTACCATGTCAGAATAAAGAGTCCTCATTAACAGAAACAGATGAAAGGTCTGTCGATGTAAGCAACTAAGGCCTTTGCCCCCAAAGCAACTCTGATGTCTAATTCAAACCCAACTCCTAAAAATACATGTTAGATACCCAGGTACACCTCTGAGGACTGCACAGAAATACCAGCAAGTTCGGGGCCAAAGATCCCACTGTCCCCCCTCCTCAGCCCATATGATGAGGTTCTAAGGAGCAAGCCTTTCATAACCTACTGATAGAAAACATGCAATAGAAAATATATCACCAAAGTTTTTAAAGCAACATTAGCTAATTGGCACAATTGCCTTACTTACCCTGAACAGCTAAACCAGCCAGATGTATTGCTTGTTCCAGTGTGCAAGGAATGTTGCCCTCCAAGATATCTTTCTTTAATTGCAAATAATACTGATACCTACATGGGAAAAAAAGAAAAAGCTAACATGGGCTTCTTAATTTAAAGAGAGTGCAGATGAATATGCCTGCATTTCCTATTCCTCTCTGCATTCCCCAGTTTGTGTGGAGGGTAGTCTTCCTCATCATTTGGACCCACTATTTCATGGTCTTTGTTAACTCCTCTCTTAGCTTTCACATATCACTGCAGAATCAAATACAGCTACCTCTTAAAACAAAGAATCTCCACGATTTCTATCTACTACCATGTCCTCATAAATTTTTTATTTTTACCTCTTCCTTCCTTAATTATTATCTCCTCTTTACAATGTTCAGTACACTGCTGCTGTATTGCTGCATTCTCTTCCAATAGATCTAACATTGCACATCCCTTCAGTCACAATAGTGACTTTAATTTCTGCATTACTACTTCTGAGTACATTTTGTTCTCACCTTCAAGGCAGCATTTTTTTTCCTTTAATCTGACCTTTTCCGGGGTCATCTCTTGTACATGCAACCACTACTAGCTGTACCATCTGTCCACAGCCTGAACCCCTATTTTCTTGAATTCTTCTGTCCCTTTCAGCCACCCATGGAACACCCTATCTTGAGCCCAAAACACCTCAAAACTCAAAAAAGCCATTATAGCTACACAGACTTTGCCAAGAAGGACATTTGCCTTCTGTAAACCCAGCGTTAAAAGCTTCTTAACTTCCTTATATTGTATGTTAACTCTTGTGAAGTAAGGCTTTCATACTGAGAACATGGAAGCATGTGCTGCAATTCATTTGGTGATTAGAAAGGCCAGGTAAACTCCACACAAATTTTCATCAGGCTAAAAGATGTCTCTCTTCCCTCACTGTTTAACAGCCTGTTAAATACAGTGACATTTTATAAATATTGTTTAGACTCTTCTGGATCCTACTACAGAAAAGCAGCATGCCGTATGACAGTAGATAACATCCTTATACAACATACACAAGAACAGCTGGGACTAAAACCAAGTCTTAAAAAAAAAAAAGAAAAGGAAAAAGCCACCGTGTATCAAGGCGTTTGGGGAAATAAATCTTCTCAGTCAAGCAGTAGAACATAAGCTCCTTCCATAGAACTACTAAAAGTAAACATATAGACGAAGAATATTGACGCTACCTCATGATAGTACAAATACCATCTCTTTTGTCTATGACATTTCCATTTCCTGGTATACATTAAACATATAATTTGCTTAAACACGCTCAATCTCATTTATATTGAAAAGGCATGAAAAAAATCCACAGATTTCTGAAACTAATCCAGACTCTCACTGTCGTACATCAAAGCAAGTACCATCCTCTAGGACTTGAATATAAGCTTGGCAAATAAATTCCTGCTTTCTACGTGGCAGCACACTGTAAAATTGCTGTTAAAACTCCAGCATAAACATCATATTCTTTAAATAAATGCCAGAGAAGAATATTCAAGGTTTTTCAGGCAATTTAGCTATTCAATGCATCTCCACGACATTTCTCTTACTCTAATGCATCCTAGTACACCAGCAAGCACAGAATCTGAACCAAAGATTTATTAAAAAAAAAAAAGAAGAAAAAAGAAAGACCACTAGAATGACTTTTTAAGCCAGTAAAATTGCTGAGAAAAAGCCCAAAACTTCCGAGTTTTCAGAAAGAAAAGAATCTTACAGAAATTACACGTAAAACAAAAACTAAAGCTGCCAGGCATTGAGCAATACATTACAGCATCAGTGTCTGCACCAAGAAGCTTACCTCCCTGAAAAGCTTTCACACCACAATTAGTGGAAAAGGTCTCTGGCAAGGTATTTTAGCGCCAGGGTATATAAAGACAGTTTCATGTAACCACAGAATAAATTAAGCTGGAAAGGACCTCTGAGTGATCATCTGGTTCAACTCCCCGCTCAAAGCAGGGCCAACTTGAAGCTACCAGCTTAAACGGGTTCATTAATGCAAGCACATATTTCTGAAATAACAAATACATATTTGTAATCCAGTTACTGGTTTTGTACTCATTTGCCTATTGAAAATAATAATTAAATCAGAACAACTATACACATTGAGACACTAGAAGCCCATGTATAGGTCCAAAGGAATAACTGGCCAGTATATATGCTCAATTTTACTTTTCCCCACACCAGTCATGTGATGTTCCCCAGATTCACAGTAGAAATGGATATATAATATCAAAACTAACATCCACCTTCATTGCCCAGTGGTACACAAAAAAAAGAAATCACAAGCTGAAGCTTAGCCTGTAGTTTGCCAGTGTACTGTACTGAAAGTACAGAAAGTACTGAAAGCAAAATAAAGGAAACCATAGCTCAATAAAATCTGCATGTGCTTTGTGCAGGATGGACATCCCCAAAAGCAACACATGGCTCTTCAAAACAAAACAAAAAGAGACACAAACATGAAGGGACTAAAACAATTAAAAGTCTGACCATGCAAGTATGCCTATTACTGAAAACAGGTTTGAATAGATTCCTAAGATCACCAAAAAGTTAGTTGTTTGCGTAGTTTATCACATATTTTAAATATTCAAAAGGGAAATAAATACACAGTTTGAACACAAATTCTGCCTAAAGTAATAATTTCCATTTCTATAGAGGTGGGGGAGGGGAAAGCAGACAATTTTTAAATAAACCATACATTTCAGAATGCTAAAAGCAAAATTATAGACACATGCATGAAGTTTATTTTTTGAAGTTGAGAAACAGTAGGCACATAGAACACTACTCCAAAATACACAGTTGGCTCCAAGGCATATTTGTCCAGCTGCTTTTTCAGAGGCTTGTCCAAATCTACCCATCTACGCTGATTCTGCTTATTATAGTACCACAGACTGAAATATGTAATCTGAAAAAGAGGCATTTCAATGATGAAAAAAAGTTAATATTGCGATATTAGATAAAATATATTGTATGAAAGTCTTGCTACTCAGAAATAAAGGTTTTAAAACACTGACTAAGGCTATGGGTTATTGAAAACTTAGAGAACTGGAGAGACATATAGTATCAAAAGCAGACAGTACTTCCAGATAAGCAATCCATGTACATAAGGTCCCCCCACTAAAACATTACCAAACATACTCTTTATTTGCAAACAGTCCCTCACCCTGTTGTGGCAACTCACAGATGTTAGTAGTAAGCATTTATGTGTGACAGGAAAACTAAGGGAAGTGAGGAAGGCAAACAGAAAATGACATTGGACAGCAGGAGAGCAAAGTATGGCTTCTCTGTGGAACTGGCAGGCAGGCTTACATGGGATGCTGAAGGAAAAAAGAGCAGAGGACAACTGGTCAAAGACAAGCTCATTGAAGCACAGGTATGGCTCATCCCACGAGCAAGAAAATGACAGCAGCAAGCTACCTTGCCTGAGCAGGCAACTCTTGACCAAGCCAAAACACAAAATACAGCATGCACTGGAACAGATTGCCCCGAGAGGCTGAGGGATGTCCATCCCTGGAATGTCAAAACCCCACTGGACAATACCTTGAGCAACACAATTTAACTTTGATGAGATCTCCTCTGAGGAGTATAGACCAGAATATTTTTCTATCAGTCCACAGTATAGTTCTAAATCACACTGCAGAGCCACTCATTCAAATTTCAATTTCTCCACTATGTTTAAACTGATTAAAATCTGCCCCTGCAGTACTTATTTCACTCAGTTCTGGATCAGCAAACAGAGGTGGACTGGAAAATATTCATATCATTATCACAGCAAAACTAGAAATCATAATTACAAGTTTTTTAATTGAGGGAGGGAGATAAGGGAGTACTAAGAATTACCAATTACGCCTGTAGGTATTTACATGGAAATTCTCCAAGTCCTTGCTACGTACACATTATTATATGTAGAAATGGTAGAAATACCAACACCTTTAATCCAACACTTTTCTTTATGTATTTTGTTTTTATGTATATGTTTTTAACCTATACAAAACAAAGCTATTGAGGATGACGTTTTATGAAACACAGGACTATTCATCATAATGATTTTTTTTACATCAATAATTTCTGTGAATTAAACTTGGAAAAATTGTCTACTTAGCAAACAAAGTATTTACTGTTGTATTCTCAGAAACTCTAGCATTTTGATGCTGTGGAGCACAAATTTGAAATCCATTGGGGAGCGACAGCTGGTAGTACAGAAAGGCCACTTTAGTACTCTCCTGCGAAAATTTGCCTATATACACGTCTGAAAATTCATATACATACATCTTCTTAGTTTATAGTCTAAACCAGATGAAGCATCTACCCTCATGGGATTCTGGCTATCCCTTACAGCTCTAACAGGCTGCTATGCATGTAAAACTGTGGCATGGGCAGATATGCTACATCCCAAACTTCAAGGACAGCAGTGAAGTCAATGCTCCGTATCAGCACAGATCATTAAGTAATTTTGGGCACAAAAATCAAGGTGTAGCGTTAAATTAATAACATCATCTATTCCATAACAGCATTTTCTGTGGGAAATTAGCAAAACTGGGAAATTAGAGCCAATTCTAAGGCATAATGTTCCTTTGACGTTGCATACTGGCAAAATGTACTTCTTGGCCCTCTCTAAATTAGCATCAACACAGTTTTAAATGATTGTTGGTGTGTTTTGGTGGGGTTTTTTCCCCCCAATGTTTAAAAAAAATTCTCTAAATTAAAATTACTGTTACCATGTAATTGCAAAATCAGTATTCAGAAGATTAAAAAAATGTTAGGATGACGTCTGCTCATTTAACCTTAATTAAGATCCCTTCTGTAAACTCTAAGACAACTCTGGTCCTATTTGATAAAAAGGCAGGCTGTAATACAAAAATTAAATTGAATTAGAACTGTTCATAGAAGAAAAAGCAGTTTTTCAGTATAGTGGAAGATATCTGGAGAAAAGGCAGAATGCTGATATATACAAAATAGTTTCATGGTTGGGAAAGTTTAAAAATCACCATAGAGAAACAGACTGTATTCCCACACCAGAAACAAAGTTCTCTTGTAAAGCAAATCCTACAAACCAAATTTTTCACAGGCAGACACCGTATGCTCTTCACTTCTGAATTCTGAAAACCAAGAGTCAAATTTAAGTAGTCATAAACACTTCCAGTTTCAAGAGCACAAAAGGAATACGACTCTGAATACAAATACTATAAACAACATTTTTTTTTTAAATTTTTCAGTCCAGGCGCATGAAGTTTGCTGATACCTTAGACAACATTTGCTTTTATTTCTGTGCTTCAGTCCTCCAACCATAAGATATAGTGTGTGGTATATCCACCACCCCACAAGGATATTGAGAAGACAGTATCTTAAGATTCCGTAAGATGTTAGGAATTGTAACAGTAGTACCACACAAACTCCATTAAGAAATAAATATTATGTTCATTGCAACATCACACACTGAAAAGGATAAAATGTACCAAATGACTACTAGGCAGTCCTTCCTGCAGATTGAATGAGGAAAGGAATGCATGTAAAAACTCGTATTTCTCTTTCATTACAAGACTGTTAACACCATGCGCACAGTCACAGGAGCCAAAGTCAGACTGTGATGCTGACATCCTGTAACTTCCGAGTGTTACAAATGTAATGTATATATAAGGCAAGATGGTAAGTATACTAGAGGACCAAAAAATAAAGATAACAGTTGAAGTTGAACTATATGCTATGCGCTACTTGATCTCACTTCCTAGGAAGAGCTCAAAAAAGAAAGCCTACTGTGCTGGCCCACCTGCCCAACAGGTCAACTGCATCAGCCCCGGGCTGAGCGCGATCCGAAACATCGAACCACAGCGTTCTGGGTGAGAGCAGAGGCCAAGGCAGAGACTGAAACCTAAGGGTAACAGCTACAGAACCACAAAAGCACACCAAAAAAGTTGAAAGACTTCTATAAAAGATACCACACAAACACTTTTGGAAACCAACTAAAAACGTATGCAAAAATTTCTGAGCAACTGTTTGAATAACTTTCATCTGCAGCCTTGGTGTATTTAAGCCTCCAAGAAGCACAGATGTGTAACAGGTACGGAGAGAAAGAGCACAAACTTCTGTTAACACCACCACTGTTTCAAACCCTCTGGTTCTACACCCTGAAGTCTAAACTGAATGTATAGCCTATTTTTAAGGCATGATGATCACTTGCACTGGTCTGTTTCTTTAAAACACTGACCACTTTTCCTTGCCTACACACAGAACCAAGTAGCTACTGGCACAACAGACTAAAAAAAAAGTGTTTTAAAATATTCTTTGGAATCCAGCATATATTTAAACAAGATTTTTCTGCCACAGTATTTCCCTAACCAACTCCTCCAATACGGACTATCAAAAATAAAATGAAAGCCAAGCAAAACACTATGGACCAAAGCCTGTCTTCTGACTTGTATTTCACTTGAATTCAAGGGCAGAATTTGATCCTGTGAGTTTTCAGAGGAGCTTATGCACCCTGGAATATTCACACTGATTAAAATAGAATCCATTTTTATTCATTGCTAAAACATTTTATTATTAGCAGCTCAGGACAACACCCAATTCTGAAAAGAAAGTCATGACATAATTCTTAAAATACGTTAAGCTGTTAAGATTAACACTATTTTGAGGTTCATTTATTTTAGCGACTTATTCATGACCCAACCCCTTTGAAGAAAATCAAATGGAAATAACAAGAACATACAATTTCTGCACAGTTACTTTCTACCTAGCTGCTTGCTGTCACTATAGACAGGAATAGTAAGCATTTTTGCATAAAAGTTCAAGATTACCAAGAACGCAAAAGTACCAAAAGCCCACCACAGTATTACAGCTCACAAGTTGGTGGGAGTGGAGTGACTTCATCTATGAAGTCAACCAGACTTCCTAAGCTAAGCAGAGGAGCTTTGTCAGGCATGACTGCCACAAAACTACATTACTGTACGTGACTATATCATATCTTTTGGCATGATGTATCATTAAAGTCAGAAAAGTGGGGCTGATCAGTCTTAAGAAGAGACTAAAGTAAAATCTTACTGCGGACTTCAACTTCCTAAGAGCGGGGATAGTGAAGACAGAGCCAGACTCTTCTTGGAAGTGCTCACTGAGAGTACGAGAAGCAGTGGGCACAACCTGCAACGTGGGAAATTCCAACTAGATCAGGAAAAAAATTTCACAACAAGACTAGCCAAACACTGGAACAGTTAGCCCAAAAAGGTGTCAAACCTCCATCCTTGGAGGCACCCAAACTCACCCAGGCAACCTCTGAGCCACCTGATCCAAGCTAGCCTTCCTGAGCAGAGGGCAGGAACACACAACCCTCAGAGGCCCCTTCCAACTCAAACTATTATGTGGTTCTATGTCATTAGAGAATTGGTGCTGACAAAGAGAATTAGCTTACTGAGAAATTCTTGGATGTAAATTAAATAAAACCTTTTTTAAAAAAAAAAAGTGTTACCTTTTACAAACCCATTAATAACTGAGCTTTAAATCTTAAAATTCTCATCAGTTTCCACACCTACTGAGCTGTTCCTCACCTGTTTTGTAATTTGAAATGGAATCAATGAGAAAGTCCTTCTACCAGCTGCCTGATATTAGCCAGCTACAACTAACTGCTGCATTTCATTTTATTTTCCTTAATATGGATCAACCTCATCCCTAATATAATTTCACTTTGGCTCTAATCTAAACATCATTTGTACATATCAGTTATATACAATCAGTTTATATCTGATTAGCAGTATAAAAAAAAAGTTTTAATATAGAATCTCAGGGTCTATTTTGGTCACAGTTTACACTATTGTCCTGGTTTCGGCTGGGATAGAGTTGATTTTCTTCCTAGTAGTTGGTATAGTGCTGTGTTTTGGATGTAATATGGGAATAACCTTGATAGCAACAACTAAAACAACAGTGTGTTAAGTGGCATTTACAGTAGTCAAGGACTTTTCAGCTTCCCATGCTCTGCCAGGTGCACAAGAAGCTGGGAGGGAGCACAGCCAGGACAGCTGACCCAACTGGCCAGCAGGGTATCCCGTACCATACAGAATCATAGAATCATAGAATC